CGAAGTGGTAGAAGACTTTGGCGTTGGCGCTTTCGCGAGGGTTGTCTTCGTCCATGGGGACATTGACGGAGCAAAACGGGAGAGGTCCGGCTTCTTCTGATGCATTGTGCACATTCTGTTCGTCCCAGTCTGCTTCGTCCGCTGCTGAGGCGAAGGCTCGGTCACCACGAAAGCCACTTGTGGGATCTTCATTTTCTTGCAAGTTGGCAAGGTACGTCTGAAGCGTGAGTCGTTCGTAGAAAATTACGTCACGTGTTGCTACTGTTTCCTTGGAGTGGACATCGAAGATTTTCCACGCTTTGTAGTTCATTTCGATGCCGAGGTGTAGTTCCCACTGTGCGCGTTGTGAAAATCGGCCCGCTCGTGCTTCTGGGGGTCGGTACTGTACCATGCACCCGAAAACTCGTAACATTTTTGTGCTGCCCTGTTTCCCTGTCCACAGCAGATGCGGTGACGCGTTGTTCGGAAGTGAAGACGACGACATCAAGTTGTGCAGCATGACAGCGTGGTCCATTGCTGCAGGCCACTGGTGGTTGGGTAGCCGCATGCCACGTAACAGTTTGTGCATGCTGTTCTACAGGGTCCTGTTCATTCTTTCTGCTTCTCCTTGCTGCTGATGGGCGTAGGGAAGGGAGATGAGCTGCTTGATTCCCCTTTACGCCAGGTACTGCTTGAATCGCTAAGAGGTGTATTCTCCTCCTCCGTCTGACTGGAAGCTTTTCAGTTGCACGCCCGATTCTCTCTCTGCTACTGGTAGCCAGGCAACGAAGGCTGCGAATGCCATGTCGCGGCTAGGTAGGTTTAGGTGCCAGACGTAACGGGTGGTGGCGTCGATGAAGGTGATCGTGTAGTTGTATGTAACTTTTCCTGGTTCCCGATTGAACAGGATATCGCTGTACACCTTCTCGAGTGGTGCGTACGCGGGTGCGCTCGGGTTGTGATGAGGAATGAACGGCTGATGTGGTAAGTCGGCTTCGGGGCAGGTAAGACAAGTTCATCGTGCTCGTTGAAGTTCTCTGCCATCGAGTAGTAGTAATGAGTCCTTGTCAAGGACTCCTGCTCTTATTGTGTTGTTTAACACAGTGTTGCTTGGGTGTCCCATGCGTGCGTGCCAGATGTCTTCAGAGGCGCGGTGTCCGGGTGAACGTCGATACGCGTCGGAGTTGGAGTAGAAGCTGGCGATGAAGTTTGCGCTTCTGTGGACTTCCCGTTGAGTCGGATTCAGCTGCTGTGCGGGTGTTGGTGGTGCTTCGTCAACGAGGACTGGTGTCGTTGTTTCTGCTGCTGCCGATGTTGTCTCTGCTGCTGCCGATGTTGTTACTGCTGCTGCCGATGTTGTCTCTGCTGCTGCCGATGTTGTCACTGCTGCTGCCGATGTTGTCACTGTTGCTGCTGAATGTTGTATTGTTACTAACGCACGTGTTCGTTCTGCTTCAGGAATGGTATGGGAATACCAGAAGCCTTCCGGACTGAAGTCGGGGTCGAGATCCGGCGGGTGCATCCAAGATGTGAAGGTGACGATCCCGTCACTGTCTGCGGTGCCCAGGTCTGGGACAAAATCGAGGACGAAGACATTGTTCTTCAGGATCGCTTTTCCGATGTAGAGGGCGCCCTTCCCGTGGTACAGCTTGAACTCCTGGGTGGTACTGTCGGCTTCCAGATGTATGCCTTTCGCCATCAACTGACTGACGCTCAGTAAGTTGTAGCCAAGTCCTTCTGCTATTAGGACTTAGGACATTTGTAGTACGACATTCGTCTCTCGTGACTGAAGTTGCACTACCCCTTGTCGTCGTGTGCGCAGGTTCTGATTGTTGGCGACAGTGATGACGACTTCTCGTTGAAGTTGGTGCTCGCGTTGAACGAAACGTCCTGAAGAGCACATGTGTTGTCCGCAGCAACTGTCCAGGAACCATGTATCCTTTCCGGTCGGCTCGCTTTGGGCGATGGCGGCGTACGTCGGGTTTTGTTGAAGTGACTCGCAGCGAGGCGTACTGTTGTCGAGTTGTTCTTTTGGTGAGTAATATGGTGGTGACTCAGTTACGCAGGAGTTACTCAGCCTTGCCATGCAGCTGACGATGTTTCTTGTTTCTTTTGCAGGTTGTCCCGTTGATGTTGTTGAGACGTGGACTGAAGTTGTCGGGTTTGCTTGCGTTGAAGCCACTTGACTGCTTGAAGGGCGAAGTTGGCGTTGTCGATTTGGGCAGTGCGTACGAGGGTGCCCTGAAGTCTTGCAGAGGTGGCAGAACGGAGGTATGAATTTCGGTCGATTGTTGTTCTTGTTGTAGCGCCGTTGAGTGTGAAACGCGAATTCGGACACTGACACCTTTCTCCTTTGTCATTCTTCTTGCAGGTCCATGTCTTGCTGTTCGGCGTGGATTTCGGCGCAAAGTGCCGCTTCAGAGATTTTCCCGTGGGCTCGTAGTATGGCGCGAGTGGAGCGCCAGTGAAGACCAAGACCGCCGATGACAACCGTGACGAAGGCGTCATCTGAAATCGATCCTCCACATCGAAGAAGCTTGTTGCGCAGCTCGCGGCAGCGACTGATATACGCCATTCCCTTCTCGCCCGGTTTCATTTCGATTGTAGTTAGCTGCGCCATTAACTGACTTTGGTTTACGCTGTCTGTTGCTTGATACAGGGTCTTCAAGTGATTGTACGCGAGCTCCGCGGAGTTGCCGTAGCCTCGGTAAGACCGAATGTTTTGTTGTTGAGATGAAGTGATGTTCCTCAGCAGTATCGTGTACGCGATCATTGGTTGATAGGTGTAGTGCTGCTTCTCATACTGTGTGCCGTTTGTTGGGTATGGCAGGGACCCGTCGAAGAAGCCGAGGATTTGCGCTCCTTCCATCATCAGTTCAAATTCGAATGACAAGGTAAAGAAGTACTTCCCGTCGAAGGGTTTTGTCGTTTGCAGTTTTAGAACGTGCGCGAACTGCGACTGAACTTGTAGTGTGTCCAACGTTCTCTCTTGTCCCGGTGCAGGTTCTGGTTGTGGCATGAAGCTGACGGAGCCGCGGTGAGGCTCGTACGGAGCGAAGGTAGGTTGTTGTTGTTGATTCGCGCGTGCGTAGGATGAGCCATCAAGACTCATGGGCGTCACGTTGTTGTTGTTGTTGTTGCTGTTGTTTGATTGCACATGTCCTCCTTGCTGATGCTGCTCGTAGAAGAACATGAAGGAGAAGAACTTCTCCATCATGCTTGGATCGAAGCCCACGCCTTGGTTTGCGGGTGTTTCAGTAGACCCAGCTGCCGGTCTCGTTGTTGTCCCTTCCTCTGTCTGTAGGCCAGAGGCAGGAGGTGGAGTAGGAGTAGTGCCAGGAGAGCCGTTGGAGGAGCTCCTCTCCTTTCTAGTAGACATGTCTCTTGGTGTATTAGGTGTTGAGGAGAAATGATTTTAACTCTAACCAGCTCTCATACCATGTTGGGCTGAGTGCCCCTTAGGATCTTTGGTAGAGTTAAAGTCTGAGTAAAGTGATGTAGTAGCGGAAGCGTTTTAAGTAAAGTCCTTGAACTACCTTGCGCTAGTATGTGAGGGCAAAGTAAGTTGATTAAAGCAAAGAAATACAAGAATATATATATGAATACAGAGAATATGAAGAGACATAATTATAACTACTTTACTGTTGCTTGTTGCGGTTCGATACAGTGCGAGTCGGGCAACTGCTCAATGTCGAGTCAGTTGTGTGTCCTTGGTGTCGCGCTGCATTTGTCAGGTCAAAGGTCGCTGACCTTTGACTTTCGCGTAACCTCCAGCGGTTACATCAACCTCCGAGGGTTGACTCGCTTGTGCCTCGATATGCTCTGCTTCGCTTGTGTCTTGGTGTTTCGACTCGACAGAGGCGCTTAAGATTATTTGTTCCCAACCATTTTTACAATCTCTCAAGTTCAATTCCCACCCACCCTCCCCATGCTAGTAATCTTTAGAGAGTAGTAGTTCTTAGACATTTTGGATGTGATGGTGTATTATTATTATTATTGCTAGGAACCATTGTACTTGAGCACCATTGTAATGAGAACGATGCATATTGCTACAGAAGCAAGCTTTCTCAATCAGTTGTCTAAGTGAGTGGGGCCGGGCTTGCAAGTCAGTACATTTCAATCACACGTTCAATATGAAATGCTATCTTGATATGTGCTTGGGTTTGTTGGGAACAAATAGTCTTAAGCGCCTCTGTCGTGTCGAAACTCCAAGACACAAGCGAAGCAACGCAATCGAAGCACCAGCGAGTCAACCCTCGGAGGTTGATGTAACCGCTGGAGGTTACGCGAAAGTCAAAGGTCAGCGACCTTTTGACCTGACAAATGCAGCGCGACAGCAAGGACACACAACTGACTCGACATTGAGCAGTTGCCCGAGTCGCACTGTATCGAACCGCAAGAGTAAAGTAGTTACAATTGTGTCTCTTCATATTCTCTGTACTCATATTTTTTCTTGTATCTCTTTGCTTTAATCAACTTACTTTGCCCTCACATACTAGCGCAAGGTGGTTCAAGGACTTTATTCAAAACGCTTCCGCTACTACATCGTTTACTCAGACTTTAACTCTACCAAAGATCCTAGGGCGTTCAGCCCAACAGGGTTTAGACCCGGGGTTCTATATTTCAAGCTTAGGACCACCATGTGTAATGCTCCTCAAAGGTCAATATCATGCTCTTACGACATTTGACATTACGGTACAAAGCTAACTACAAGAGTCAGGATTATGTCAGACGAAAGGTCAGCTACTACCTGACTAAACTGTCTGGGTAGATGAATACTAATGTTCTGGAGTTGGTTATCTCCTAAACCAAACCCCAAGCTCAACACCCCCCTTTCCCCCCCTTCGGAATGGCATTACCTATGCTAAACAAAGCTTTCCCAAGAAAAGGCAGCAATTCAACCTCCTCCTCCACACCCCCTAGTGTCTCCGCCAGACCAGATATCCCCATTCTCCCTTCCTGTTAAAACCCTCCTATATTCGGCTCCCTTGCAAGAACCTCAATTGCAGCAGCTGCTTTTTCTACGGAAACGCGTCATATCTGTCATATCTCGTGTTAGAGTATCTTTTCCTCCACATCCCCCCACTCCGCGCGTCCCCCCCTTGTCCCCAGTCAACCCCTTCCCCCCACCTCCTTCCGCTTTCCCCCCCCGCCCTCCCTCCCCCCCAGCTTCCCCTCAACATCCTATCCACTCTACCCTCCGCCGCTCCCCCTGCTCCTCCCGCTCCCCCCGCTTCCCCCGTCCCCCGTCCTTCCCCCGCCCTTCTCCCCACCTGCACCTCTCCCCACTCCCCCACGCTCACCTCATCTCCCCCTTCCGCCCCACCTGTTTCCGCTTCCTGCTCTGCTAAATCTCCGACCGACACCCATTGCCCTTCCCCCTCCTCCTCTTCCCCCTCCCCCTGATAATCCCCCCCCCGCACAGTTTCCTCTCTCCCCTCCTCTTCCGCCCCTCCCCGCACCTCCGCCTCTCCTCCGCTTTCCCCCGCCGCCTCCGCCCTCCACAGTGCTTCTTTCCGCAATACGTCCTCCTTTTGCTCCAAAAGCTCCCCCTCCTCGCGACATGCAAAAGGATCTTTAGGGTCGGGCAGGTAGCCCTCGTTACAAGCACACGTCACATTCCGCATCAGCCGTTGAGAAACCGAGCTTTTGGGAATGCATGTTCCCTGCCCGCCGCACTGCCCGGCGAACGAAAATGTTTTGCAGAACGCGTTGCAATTGGCGGGTTTTCGCTGAGGCTGGAGAAAGTGTAGCGGGCAGCTGAAAGAACCGGACATGCAGTTCCCCCCCACTGAAACCCGCAAGCCAGGCACGCGGTCACTTGTCGGGCAGATTGAAACGTTTCCCATCATCATTTTCAGCGGCCCGTACAAGTAGTTGTTTGACACGTCGACGAAAAACTCGGATTCGCCGTTGATATCGCCAGTTTTCGCAGGGAAATCGGGCAGCTGACCGGTGAGAAAATTATTCGCCACATTGAGCATGTAAAGGCTGGGCGAATGCGAGAACACATCGGGAATCCGTCCGTACAGTCGATTGTGACTCAAGTCCAGCGAATACAGATTCGAAGCTGTTCCTATCGCGTACGGAATCTGCCCATCTATGCGGTTGTTATTGAGGATGAGCACAGACAAAGACGGGGATGCTCCTAACGAGGGCGGGATCTTCCCGCCAATCTGGTTGTGCTGTAGAATGAGCGAAGTGATCGAACTACTGTTACCGATATCGTCTGGGATCGTGCCGGTCAAATTGTTGTAACCAAAGTCGAGCATGCGAAGATTCGGTAACGAGCCCAACCCAGCCGGGATATGCCCACTAATTCCATTCCTATCTAGAAACAGCGACTGCAGCTTCCATAAACGAGATAAAGTGGCGGGCAAGAAACCGTCGATTTCGTTGTTGCTTAGAATGAGTGACTCCATAGCGGGAAGATTGCCGATATCCCTATGCAGCCTCCCCTGAATCTGACATCCTGACAAATCGATCCGCCTGACTCGACCGCTGGATGGGTCACACGTCACGCCTTTCCACTCGCGGCAAGAGCGGGTTACGCGCCACGTGTCGGAGCCCAGGAATTCGCCCCAAGTCGCCTTGACCGCGATTAACGCGGCGACATCGTCGGGATGGGGAGGCGGGAAATCGTCTGGAGCCGTCGAGACTAGGCTGAAGGGAAGGAGGAGAAAGATGGAGAGAGAAGCGATGGCTAGGGACGAAGGGTGGAGTAGCAGACACCGACGGAGTGACGAGAATCGACGAAGTGACTTGATGGTGGAAAGTATGCGCAATGGTGACGACGTTGGCGCCATCGCGGAAACCGTGAGAAGGCTGTGCAGACCACAGTGCGAATTTTATTGCGTTCAGGGCTTCCTGAGTCAATCAGCAGCTAGGAGGAGTTTATGACGGCAGCGTCTCAAAGAGGCGGCTAAGAAAACGGCCTGTTGATTATCGTCCGTATGTTGAAAACATGCGAAAGGATAGTAGTACTCTTGCAACGTACTAACACGGAAAGCTGCCTCAAGTTTCTCTAAGCTGTGTTCTCAGGAATGTTGATGATTGAAAATGAAAGGGAGAGAGAAACTTGAATGAGCAAGAGGAGGGGGAAGGAGGAAAGGGAAGATGGAGTAGCAGACATGTGTTGTATTTCGCGAGATCGACGGCGGTGGTTGAAGCACTGGACTCGCGCCGATGGCGGCAAGCTTCTGGCACGGCGCGGTAAAAAATTGAACGGCCAAGCTCGCTGACTGCCCTGACTCGCTGTTGCGACTCGCATTATGTCGGTGTAGGGTAGTGCGTTTTACAATACAAGATGGTATATGGGTGCTTAATGAGTGGTCAGGATACAGTGTGGATAGAACAAACGAGATAAATCGGCAACAGTTTGTCACGAAAAGTCTGTGCCTACTGTCCGAGAATGGCGAAAGTGCAGCTTCACGTTACAAGAATTCCGCGTGACGAAACCAACCGCCACAACACCCACGCTCCCGCCACGCGCTTTCCTTTCCCCACGCCACCTCCGCCCATCTCAGTTCCGCATAGTCCCCCGCCAACAGCCCCTCCCCCCTCCCTCCCGCTGAGCCAGGCTTCCCCCCTTCCCCGAGCTCCATTCCCGGTGCCCCTTGCACAGGTTGAACTGTTCTCCCCATCGCCGCAACATACCTGTGTGCGCCTGTACCCCCGGTCCCCCCCCCACCCCACCCACCGTTCCCCAGGTCTTCCCCCAGTGCTTCTAGTCCCTCCCACCCACACGCGTTGCTTCCTCTCCCCGCCTTCCCCTGCTTTCCCTTCTTCCGAGGCTACTCCGTCCCTAGGTGTTTCCGCTTCAACAAACTTCACTCACTGGTGATATTTTCGTTTTCCCTGTTACCTTGTCCTCCCCCACCACACGTTAGTTAGGTTTTCTTTCCCTGTCCTTGCCGTGGACAGATCTAAACTGTTTACTTCATCTGCCGGCGTTCTACATATAGTTACCGATGCGGGTTCGCCTCCATGGATTTCACAATTGTGTGCTGCAAGCGTCCCTATTTTTCGTGATCTAGACTGAACTTTAGGCTGGATTATCGGCCCTGAGTAGGAATTACTGAACATAGCAGTTCCTTCCGTAAATATAGCTTAATAGGGGTATTTTACCCCTATTTAGGGTTGCGTGAAGCTGGGGGAGCCAATGGCTGTCGTGTCGGACGAGCCGATAGAAGTGAAGTTTCGGTTAGCGGACGGATCGGACATCGGTCCGAACAAGTTCGAGCAGGAGGCTACGGTCTTGTCGTTGAAGGAAAAGATACTTGCTCAATGGCCTGGAGGTACTATCTCGGCTATGGATTTCTTACTTTGTTAATCTATGTTTTTTTTGTGTTTGTAGTATGGTTTCTCTCTTTGCTGTGCTCTTCCGGCAGCCGTCTCTGCGTTTTCGGTAAGTCTTCACGCGTTGTTCACATGCCTTCATTCCACATGCCGTAATCAATGTCTTTTTTTCCCTTCCTGGCACCATTATGCCCGTTCTGCAAAGCATCGTAATTCATGCATTGCTATCGTTATTCACGCCTTGCTATTCTCGCTACCGTGCGACGGCGTTACCATCCATTTCTGATCAGACTCTACACTTCCGTTCGAAATAAGTTACTGACTCTCCTTTGTCCCCATCACCCGCCACTTCACTGTATGAGCTACCTTAACTCACGACCTGCGGTCGTTCGCATGCTGTTGCACACTATCTTACGTTGCGCTTGTCTGTCTCGTGCCACCATGATCGCATATTATCCGTACAGATAACTTCCACATTCCTGAAAGAGAGAAATTGAAAGAATTTTTAGAAAGTATCGATAGTTTAGTTTCTCGCATGTGCTCCCAATTTCTTTGCTCTGCAGAGGGGGGTCCAAAATCGGTGAACGAGATTACTCTTATCAACGCCGGGAGATTGTTGGAGAACACTAAGACGCTGTCGGAGTCTCGTGTTCCCGTGAGCGAGATCGTAGGCACTCCGATCACAATGCACGTCGTCGTTCACCCAGCACAAGCAGACAAAACCACAGGTACCCGTTCTCTCTTCTACCTCTTTCTCTCTCTCTCTCTCTCTCTCTCTCTCTCTCTCTCTCTCTCTCTCTCTCTCTCTCTCTCTCTCTCTCTCTCGACTCTCCCTCTCCCTCTCCGTCTCCCTCTCCCTCTTCCTCTCCCTCTCCCTCTCCCTCTCCCTCTTTCACTCCCTCTCTCTCTCCCTCTCCCTCTTTCACTCCCTCTCTCTCTCCCTCTCCCACTCCCTCTCCCTCTTCCTCTTCCTCACCCTCTCCCGGTCTCGCTCCCACTCCCTCTTCCTCTCCCTCTCCCCCTCCCCTACCCTTCCCCCTCTCCCTCCACCTCCACCTCCTCCTCCACCTCCCCCCTCCCTCTCTCTCTCCTCTCTCTCTCTCTCTCTCTCTCTCTCTCTCTCTCTCTCTCTCTCTCCCTCTCTCTCTCCCTCTCTCTCTCTCTCTCTCTCCCTCTTTCTCTCTCTGAATCTTATTTACTCCTTGCCTCTACGTTTTGTCTCCCCCCTTCCACCCATGCACCCCTTTCTGGGTCGGAAATCCTTGTTTTCTTTCCTTTGCGCTCGCTCTATCTCACCGTTCTTAGTCTGCATGCCTTCCCGGTGATGCTTGCGTGCCTGCGAGGTTTCCTGCGTCGTTTTGGCACCTCTACTTTCATCTGACCGCCTCCTCCTGTTTGTTCTGTCCGTCTCTCCTCCTGCCATCCCCCCTTCTTTCTTCCTTCTGTGCCTCCTTCCCCCGATTCCTCTCCGCTCTCCGCTCTCCGCTCTCCGTCTCTCTCTCTCTCTCTCTCTCTCTCTCTCTCTCTCTCTCTCTCTCTCTCTCTCTCTCTCTCTCTCTCTCTCTCTCTCTCTCTCTCTCTCTCTCTCTCTCTCCCTCTCTCCCTCCCTCCCTCCCTCCCTCCCTCCCTCCCTCCCTCCCTCCCTCCCTCCCTCCCTCCCTCCCCCCCCCCCTCCTCCCTCCCTCCCTCCCTCCCTCCCCCCCCCCTCCTCCCTCCCTCCCTCCCTCCCTCCCTCCATCCCTCCCTCCCTCCCTCCATCCCTCTCTCTCTCTCTCTCTCTCTCTCTCCCTCTCTCTCTCTCTCTCTCTCTCTCTCTCTCTCTCTCTCTCTCTCTCTCTCTCCCTCCCTCCCTCCCTCCCTCCTCCGCTCTCGGTTCCTTGCACTTGTGTTCCCCCCATCACCCCTGTTTTCCACCTCTGGCACTCCCCCTCTCTTCACCCCCCATATATGTTCTATCTGCAGCAACACAACAACCAGCTGATGCAGCGTCAGGCAGATGTGGTTGCACCATTCTTTGATCCCGCCTTCCTCCATCATTCCGCAAGGTCCTCCCAACTACTGGTCGAAGCCACAACTCAGTTATGAGATGCCCCATGTAGATGCCTACTTTTGCTTTATTAGACCAATGTATGAGGAACTGCTGTCCTCCTGTATGAAATGTTTTTTCTTTTCTTGTAGCCAACACATCGTGTTTTGAGATGTCCAAGATGCTGAAATGGGGAATGCTAATTATGTGCTCCACTGTTCTCCGTCTAGGAACTAGTACGGAACATGTCGTGATCTTAGCCAAACATCACCTCAATCAGCTTGATCATTTCAAGCAAGCTGGAAAAGACTACCACCATCTAGAACTAGATCAGGTGCTTCAACCGTGAGGCCATTGTGTAAGTGGTTGAAAAAAATGAGCAATGTTATATGCCGCCCAAGGTAGCAAGAGTTTTTGCATAAACCAAATTTGAAGTTAAAAAACAGCATAGATCAACCCATCAGCTTCATAATAAAAGAAACTTACATTCAAAGTGTTAACACTACCATGTTGAGAAAACAGGCGCATGCCAGAGCAAACCAGGCGAAGGTCTATACAGGGCAGAATTGAGTTTAACCGCCAAACCCATAGAGCGTGCGGCCTTGGCGTTTCAGAGCATAGACGACATCCATGGCGGTGACGGTCTTCCGGCGAGCGTGCTCAGTGTAAGTCACAGCGTCTCTGATAACGTTCTCAAGAAAGACCTTAAGCACGCCCCGAGTTTCTTCATAAATCAGGCCACTGATACGCTTGACTCCGCCACGCCTTGCGAGACGACGGATAGCCGGCTTGGTGATGCCCTGGATATTATCGCGAAGCACCTTTCTGTGTCGCTTGGCTCCGCCCTTTCCAAGACCCTTGCCACCCTTTCCACGGCCTGACATAGTGTGACAAGAGGAACTATAAACGGAAGGAAATGCCTACAGACAGAAGATAATAGCTGTGCGTTGGTGATGCTCAAATAACCAGGTTGATGGAGAAATGAAGGCTGCAGTTACAAGTTATGGAACAGAAGCGCGGTTGATATACTGGCAGCTGCTACCGCTAGTTGCGTTGGAGAAGGTGAAGGCGAAGGAAGACAGGTCACAGGCAGGGAAGCAGGGCCGCACGGACTTGCTTGGCTTGGCGAGGCCCGAGTCAGAGCTCCAAAGCAAATTGTTCGGAAGCGAGGTTCGAGCTTGGTTCGGCAGGCACGAAGTAGTGGCCTGGGTCACCGGAGTTCGTGCTGAGCAAAGCTGGTTCTCGGTTAAAAATGACCGTCGATTGAGGTTACATTGTCTGACGGTGGATGTGAATTTCAGATTGAAGGAGCCCTTGTCGACCAGCGTCGATAGTGGGAATATCAACGGTTTGACGCAGAACTCGTCGACCCGAGTGATGACCCCCCATTCGCCACTTCATAATCAAGAAAACGCATGTCAACAATGACTTCGTTTTCGCATAACGGAATCAGCCAGTTATATTTCAATAGCGGCACTAAATGTAAACACTACCTTAATAAGATTTTACCAAATGTGCCTTAGTGGTCCGAATTACCATCCTTTCAAATATAGAAGGAAACAACAGCAATTGTCCTAAGCACAAAGCGCGATTCAGGCATGGGAAAGACATACCGTATTCTCCCGGATAAAACACCCCCCCGTAATTGTACACCCCCGGGTAGCTTATACGGGGTGGGTGTTACATACGACCCCGTTAGTACTATACCCAGGGCTGACGTTTCGTCTTAGGACTCCCTGATTCCAGTAAAAAATTTGACCCTCTATTATGAGGGCACATTTTTCGCAAGGTAGCTACCCTGATAACTCAGTGTTACACGAAGTCCAACTCTGACCGGACAGGGTTCACAGCTCAAAAACAGGGTTGCTATTAACAGTGCACTATTTTCCAAAATGATACAACTGCATGCACTTTCCTACTCTATCTAGTCCAGTGCACGGGCTTGTCTATGAAGTACACCTCCTCCACATCCTCATCGTCCGACAGGAATGACTTGTCCTCCGCTTCCTCCTCCCCCACGATCTCCTGATCGTCGCCGAATGACTGTTCCACTTCATCGTCCTCCTCCTCCTCCTCCTCCTCCTCCTCCTCCTCCTCCTCCTCCTCCTCCTCCTCCTCCTCCTCCTCCTCCTCCTCCTCCTCCTCCTCCTCCTCCTCCTCCTCCTCCTCCTCCTCCTCATCCTCATTCTCTCCGGCATTTTTAGCAGCCACATCTTCACCCTCCTTCTGCTTCCCCCTCCTCTCCCTCTCTGCCACAGCCAGCTTCAAGCTCTTCGCAGGGCGCCTCCTCCACAGGGACCTCCACACCTCCAGTGCCTCCGACCAGTCGATCTCATACTTGAGGAGCGATATCTGCATCAGCTCCCCCAGACGCGCGTTGCACAGCGCTCCTCGCACCCAGGACTTGATGACGTTCTGCCTGGAGAACCCTCTCTCGCAGTCCACGGTGGAGAGGGGGAGCACAGCCAGCGCCTGCCTTAGCAGGATGAGGTTGGGCCATCTCCTGCCAGGCACATTTGTACACACAACACAACGGAAACAGTTAGCGATGCGCAACAAGATTGTAAAACCCATGTTAGCAAAGTATAGGCTACCTCTTGGAGTCTGCACTCCCAAGGAAGTTGGACAGGCCTTGGGTGAAGCTCTCCATCTCATGGTGTGCCTCCATGATCGCGCAGAAGGTTGGAAGCTCCCTCTCTGCTGCTTTGAGGTCGAATCCCGGCAGCTTGTTGCGGAACAGCCTGCTGCATCCGTTCAGCCACTCCTTACACTTCTTCTCTCGCTGGGCCTTGATCTTCGGCCACTTCCCCGCCCGGAACAGCTTCGTCGGCCCGAGCTTCCCAAGGTCATCCAGTCGGTTGTTGAGGTTGTCCACGCAGTCACGGGCGAATTTGCGGCACAGCTTCACGCAGTCTGCGTAGGTGCTTCCGTGTTTGTGCCCCTTCAGCTTTCGCTCATGCATGGTGTACAGGTGATTGATCGGGCGTCCAACACTGTCCACGCCGCGCACCCGGACCTGCTTGCCTCCACCCTCCTTGTGGACTTTGAGGAAGTTCACCAGCCAGCTCTTCCCTTCGCCCCCGAAAGCTTTCTCTGGCGTCAAGTAGCGCTCCATAAGGTCACTCGTTGTGGACTCGATCATCTTCGCAATCTCAGTCACGTCCAGCTGTGTTAGAGCAGGGGTAGACAAGAGGGAGAAGGATGAGCAACAGCGTAGTGACGAACCTCACGTAGCAACATCATACAAACATGCGACCTCACCTCTCGTCTCTGGAAGCAGCGGTTGAGGTCGTTCATGTCCGCCAAGAAAAACAAGCAGAACTGAAACTTGTAGCAGGTGACAATCTCGTACGCCTTGTGATTATGCTCCCAGAGCAGCACGATGCAAGTGCCGAGGACCTTGCACAGCCTGGCCACCGCATCTCCTCGAGACAGCCACCGCACCGTGTGGATGCCTTGGACTTCCAGGTTGGTCTTGTAAATCACACGCTGCAGGCACTTGAACCGCTGACTCCACACGCTGGAGTTTCCGAGCATAGTCGCCACAGTGCGCACCACCTTGTCGACCATGTCGAGATCCGGGTTTGAGTCAGCGGCGTCTTTCACAGCCAACGCCTCACTGTGTAAAGCAGGGAACAAGTATTATGGTTTGTTAGTAAACCAATCAGCGTAGATAACATGCTACAATACAGACCAACTCAC